TTAGTGTCAATTATTGGTGGCGAAAACGCGAATCTCGGTATTTCTGCCGTAATTTCTAACAGTTCGGAAAATTATTCAAAATGCTGATGGAGTCCGAAAAAGCATCTCATTCTTGCTGTCCTCGAGAATAATTTTCCTTCTACTGACAAAAAGGAAGAGTGTAGACATTTTTTTTGCTCTCCTGAAAAATCTTGTTTTCCGAGAAACGCACCTCTGCGGTTTCACCATCGATATTTACTTTTGCCATGGCAAAATATTTCATGTAATTTTTGCTTCTCCTTCGAGCATATTCTTTGACAATTTCGTACAAAGAATGTCTCGTAACACTCTAAAAACGAATTAGGAATAGAAATTTTGAAACACCACGATCGTGATACGTATAGTTTCGTGGTTTTACCGTCAATATTTAGGTGGGTAGGGTGGGAAGGGGGGAGGGGGCGGTGAACTCTTAAAGCTGCGGACAGCACTGCAGGTACAAGTTTCTGTCGCTAATAACCTTGTTGATGTTGATTGATGAACTGGACGAGCGCACAGCCTGTGCCAACTTGACCGTGATGATAACACTGTCAAAAGATGCGGTAAGTCCGCCAATCTGGTCTCATCTCTTCATCACAATTTCGCCGGCTGTGAAAGTGGTTTTTACGTATTGATCCGTATGTTCGGTCTTTGCACTGCAAGAGTGGTGCAATGACAATCGACTAATTGAAGAAAAATTGAAAATCCTCACCTCATGATATAAGCGGTTCCATATTATCCGACAATGTTTCAGGAAGATTTTTCTATGATGTGTATCTTCCTCATCGGTCGGCTGCGCTTACAACAATTCTCTGGTTTCATTCTTACGCAAAAAAAATCACAGAAGACTAACGTACGTAAGGACTCTATAGCAAGTTTTATCGCTGAAATAGGAATGGAATCCTCTCCTTTAAAAAATACTTTTTGAGATAATGTGAGCTATCACGATTATAGTAACTTTAGGTGGACGATGATTTCTAAAATAATTAAACTACTCCTCGACCTCTTATGCAAGGAAAATCCAGTACACCTCAAAAAAAAAAATCACTGATTGCAATTCACCTATACATACTTCCTGCCCGTCAGAGAGGCAGTATTCTTATTCCTCCGAGAAATAGAAAAATTCCATTTTTTCAAAATAAAAAAACCCCAACATTTTAACCACCTCTTTATTCTGCAGTTTCTCCGAAACTCAGAATACATTGATGAATGATTTGACGAGAGGGTTATTGCACTGGGAAAAAAACACATTGGATCTAGAGTCCAGACTCTTAAAAACATCGACAAGAAAAAATACTCTTGATTCAATCAGATTTAAGCTTAAATTAGGAACCAAGCTTCTTAATTTGAGCGGATTTCCTTTTGATTTAAGCTTAAATCTGCTTGAATCAAGAGTCCTTTTTCTTGTCAATGTTTTCAAGAGTCTGGACTCTAGATCCAATGTGCTTTTTTTCCAGTGTGGTGACAGCTTGAGCTCTTCATTGATTTTTCTTCCTGTTTTTCATTATATGCGGGGTGTTCTATAAAGTATCGAACTAATAAAAATACCACATTAACGAGGATATAACCCGAGTTTTTTTTTTTTTTTTTTTTTATTTTTATTTTTTTTTACCGCATGTCTCGGTTTCTAAACGATGATACAGGAACTGACCCAATTCATATTTTTTTAATCGCTTATTGGTGAGAAAACCGCGGCTGTGAAGCAGAATCGGTTATAGGACATTTCGTCAACGATTTTTTGTCCGCGCACCTGTTTTTTCCGGTAATTTACGTCCACGCGTTTTTTCGGCACGGCAGTTTTGGTCCACGTGCAAGTTAAGACCCAAAGTTAATTGGCCCGCACGTGAATAAAAACGAAAATTGCTCACGACTTTTTGGATGAAAATTTATAATGTATTGGAAGAATGAGTGTTTGCTTGTTCTTTTGTTTTGTGTGTCGGGCCAACGGAGAATAATATATAGTTCAGAGTTTTGGTAAAAATGGGGGAGCGTCAATTCCATGAGACAAAATTCACTAAAACTCTCTACGCCTCTTTGGTGTAACAGGACTTAATTATCTTTCAAGAAATTCCCACCTTGTTATACCTGAAACGGATAAACCTCTATAATTGCCTCGGCTAAAGGCTCTTAGATTTTCCAGTGTATGATAAGTATCTTGATTTATTTTGCGAGGGAAGATCTGTGCTTTTAAAGGATGCCTGTCATTCCTAATACGTTCAATTTCGTATAATACTGTACAACACCTCTGTTGTGAAATAATTGCTTCAGGCGCCGCTGCACGGCGGGCGGGCGGCCAGCGCGAAGCGCGCATTGGCGCCTACAAACCTAAGTGGATACTTCAAGCATTGTGCAATGCACGAAGTATCCACTTAGGTTTGTAGGCGCCAGTGAGCCTCTCGCGCTGGCAGCACGCCGCGCCGCTCCGCTCTGTTTAATTTATACTCGTATAGTCAGCGTTTTTTAACTCATGATTTTGAAATGTTTGCACACTCCGCATAGATTATTCTCATTTAAATTGATGGGAAAAAAATATGTATCACTTTATCAAAGGAGAATAATAGTATAATGTGTGTTTTTTTAAATATTGGTGGTTCCGTGTCTTTAATCATTTCCAAAGCACTTTAATTTTTTTTTTTTACATTTTGTGCTTTTATTGTGCTGCAGCGAGGTGTACGCGCACAGTACGCATACTGCAGACCTTTCGTCCGATACAGTAATCGATTTCTGTATCGAACGCGAGGTGTTCTACCACCAAGAACAGATTTCATTCCTTTGAATTTTGCAATTTTTTTGGTAAAAAATTATTCTTCGGGTTTATGCGCAGTGGCCATCGTCCTCCTTGGCTTAAAATTCAAAATCTGCCGAGATTTGTTATTTAGTTGATAGAATAAATCGCACGTCAGTTCGATCACGCCAGACTCCGAGACGAATCTCCTCAAAGGCTCGATCTGACCTCCAGACACCTAAAAAAAAGCAACGCAAATTTCTTTCGAATCTTCATCAATATTTTCTTCCGGCGGGAGGATAAGTCGCCTCAAAGACCGGAGAAAAATTAGGCTGGACCAGCACAATCCAGGGGATCGATTGTTAAATCATTATCGAACGACCTCGATCGATATATCCCTACACAGTCAATGATCTTAATCGATAAAATTCATTTGACAACGATATAATAATCGACCATCAGATGACTCGCGTTGGGTTTTCTTTTGACGCTCACTTGAATCTTAACCCACGGTCTCAGCAATTTAACCGCCCCTTCTTCCGTCACCGCGGTGAATATATATGTACTTTAATCACCCCTCCATCTCCCTAATTAAGAAAGCCCAAGTGTTTGCTTGGCTTCTGAAGTATTATTTTCTTTTCATGCACGGCTGCACTCAAAGAGGGTCTTATCTTCCGATTAAAATCATTTTTCCAGAGAGGAGCACTGAAATACCAACGGAGTGGCTCAGAAATTGCGAATTTCTGGACTCATATAACGAAGAGTCGAGGGGTAACCACCCTCCCCCCCGGGTTTCTTATGTTCCAATTTAATCGCGTGCGTATCACTGAAGCGTGTAATGTGGGTTAAAATTTAATAACCAACAACGAAATATAACTTTAAGATTTTTCTGAGATTTCAATGAGATTGTTGACCTCGTCCATTGTGATTTTCAAAAAGTCATATCTTTGCATCATCATATCGCATGTAGGAAATTGAGATTAGGATTAAAAATCTACTATTTTGTACTGAAACAAGAATATCAAAACAAAATTCTACGGCAGACAACAAACTGACTAAAATTTGTATTTAATACAAATGCTTATTTTTTTTAACAAAATCGAAAAATTAAAGTTTCAACCCGTTCCTTCTAGGATGATGGACGAATGCCCCTCACTTTGTGTATATTCCTCTCTTGTTGAAATTTTGTTCGTTTAGTTTTTCATCTGCTGATAATGATGACATACTATTTTTACAGATACGTGGATTCATGAAGTTCGGATGTTTTCCTAGAGTAGAAACGGTTTTGAAATTACAAATTCAGTATTTTATATTTTGGTATAAATGTCAAGAAATCTTGCAAAAATCATGCCGACAAAGTCCGTTCACCATAGTTTCCACGCTCTCCTTGTAAAACTAAACTAAATGCATGCCACGTGTTCAGCTTCACTTCTACAAAAGAGACTTTTAATCTTAGAACTTTTAACTTGGAATGAAGATTTGATCTTGTCTACACATATAGCAAGTCTTGCATGATACCTTTGCTAAGACCTAGCTTTGACATGAAAGTGCCTGCCCCTCGGACCAAAAAGCCAGAGAAAACCGGAATGTATATAATTTAAGACTTGAAACAGGTGTTCGGTAGTTCAAGATCAGCCATTCATACGTTCCTCTTTTATTGTAGTGCACGAAAAGTAGTTGCGAACCTTGCTTTTAGGTTGACATTCAAAATTAATCCCTACATACTTCAAACATCTGTTTGACACATTGCAAAATGAAATCCAAGTGCAAATGCTGAGTTAACAATGAAAAATGCGGCTCTTGAGATACAATGCCAGATCAAGAGCCATTTTTGCCTCAAACTCGTGGAAGACTATAAAATATTGTTACCTAACTAAAAAACAATTTTATATTTTAGCGCAAGCGGGAGGGAGCGCAAATTGAATAGATTATCTATATATTCTGGCACTCCTTCCAAAAAATCAAAGGGTGTTCGTTTTGTTTTTGCCAAAATTGTAATTACTCAAACTAGGACTAAAGCAAATAGAACTATCGAATTAGAGATATATTTTTGAAGTTTAAGTACTTATATTAAGAAAATTAATTTTTTCTAGTATTATAATCACAGTAATTAAAATTATAATTAAATTGATTCCACATGAAATTAATTGTGAAATTGTTCGAATTATTCAAATAAAAGCGTAGTTTGAACTAGAAGATCATCTTTTTGTTGTAATAGTTACTACATTAAATGTTATAGATCTTAACTCTCATTTTTTAGGCAACTTCAACTCGTATCGTTGGTGGAATTTGGTGGTTTTTTACGCTTATCATCATATCCTCTTATACGGCTAATCTTGCTGCATTTTTGACCGTGGAGAGGATGATAACGCCAATTGAAAATGCAGAAGGCCTGGCTGCTCAGACGGACATCTCATACGGCACTTTGGATAGTGGTTCTACGATGACCTTCTTCAGAGTAATATTTTATTTATTGTTTCTTAAATTCATAATTTTAAACAAGAAAATTGTTGTTCATTGAACCTCTACTTGCGGAGTTATGACACTTTCATTCTTAACAAAAAAATCAAAGAAGGCAAACATTAAAAAAGGAGCAAAAAATCTACATAGGTATCCCGTTCACAATCTAAGATAAATAAGATACTAAGCATTTTTTAAGACCAGGATGTTTTGGAGTCCAGAAAATCCCCTTTCAACCGAAAAGAATAGAAAATATTGAAAATAATACCTAGAGGGAAAATGGCTAAAAACACATGTATCAAATTTTAGATAAATCAAAGTTTGCTAAGCCTAAGCTGAGGAGCGAAATGAAGTTTGTCTTGGACTATAGCATTCGGGTTTTTAGTCTCTGTAATTCCATTCTGTTTTCCTCTGTCTTTCATTTCATGAAATTAAAAATGGGGTTTTTAGGACTCTGAATGATCTTGGTCTTTTAAAAACAATACTATTCTATCTCTGGTCATCCATCTTTTCGTGAATTTTTTCGTCATGAGGCTAAGCTGGCATTTTCATGGTCTACATTACTTCAAAGAATAACTAGAAAATTAGATAGGTTGTCAAAGTAGTTTTTCAAAGCACAACCCACTTAAAGTAAGCATCTCTCGGCCTTGAATCAAAATGCAGTTTGTCAAAAGTTTAAAACCCAAGTTTGCATAACTGGTCTATAGAAAAACTATAAATTTAATAAATTACGAATTTTTGGCGACCTCATTTGATCACTTGAGAACGGCCTAACGTATAGATACAACCATCCGTACTTAAGAGACATCTTTATTGCATATCCACAAAATTGCAGGCTTTTTGTTGGTCATGAAGCTGCCACCACTAGTAAGTTATGTTGTGACTCTGAGAGCACTGATCGCCCCCAAATTCACGATTGATAGTTTCAATATCCTTGAAGATCTTTTCAGTTTTAATATTCCTACTTACAAGTAGTATTTCAAGTGACAAAATATGGTTCAATCAATGTGCAGGACTCAATGATAGAGACCTACAAGAAAATGTGGCGATTTATGGAGAATAAAAAGCCATCTGTGTTCGTCCCTACGTACGAGGAAGGAATTAAGCGAGTTCTTGAAGGGAATTATGCATTCCTTATGGAGTCTACGATGCTGGACTACGCTGTCCAGAGGAACTGCAACCTAACTCAAATAGGTGGTTTACTCGATTCCAAAGGTTACGGTATCGCAACTCCTATGGGTATGTACACACACACTTCATCTACGGTGAAACTCCACTGTACAAGAGAAAGTACTGTGAAGTACAAAATAAATTGATGCCGTGCAGCTATAGAGCTGTCATGAGTTTGTCGGTACATCTTTTCAGCAAAAAAAGGAGCAATAAAATCACGCGTGCATGGGGANGGGGGGGGGGGGGGCACAGGGTCATGCCTTCAACGGGAAAAGTTCGAAAATGATTTCATCTGTTTCGAATCGCCAGACAAGAGATGCATTTCTTTTGAAGTGAACTTACCTAAAAAATATGTGTCATTGCCTCTGCTGCACAAAAAATGAGACTCATTTCAAAAAAGAGCAGATCGTGCAATTTTTTTTTCGGCAAATGCGCACGAGGAAAAGCTAGTTTTTAGTAGAGTCCCTTTATAGAGAGAGTTGAGACAACGCGGCTCATGGATGTCACAAACGGGAATAAAGATGACACAAATCGGACGTTTTTTTTTAATCTTTGATCAACCCATTCCCAAATTCCTGTCTTCGTTCCCTCTCTCATTCCATTTGTTCCTTGCCGTACCCCCCTCCCCCGGTCCATTCCAGTATTTATAATCTTTGCAATCGCGGTAAAAATGTAATCTTTATTCCCGTTTGTGACACTGTGAAAGCCTCAAATACGGGGACCAATCAGAAATGGATTCGCATTGTCTTTACTCTGGCTCATGCTATACGTATAAAAGGACTCTAGTATTTATTGGTGGAATATATTTCAGCGGGAGGCTGTAAACTGCCACCCATTTCCTGGAAACATGGACAACTGCCCCCCGTATAAATTTGAAAACTGCCACCCGACTTGACAACTGCCCCCCGTGTAAATTTGACAACTGCCACCGGTAGTGACAACTGCCACCGGTAGTGACAACTGCCACCCGTTGAAATTTGACCAAGGAGCGCGATTGAGCGGGGTCGCACAGTTTACCAAACTTTCCTTCACACTTGGACAGGCTGAGGACTGTCTACTGAAAATCAACACATGATAAGAAATTGAGCAGTGTCTGTGATGATTTTTAATAGGCGTGTTTAAAAGTTATTTTTTAATACAATTTTTTTTAAAAATTTTTAATATGGTGAAAAGAGGTCAATGGGCTCTTAGTTGAAAGTAGTGAAAAATTGTAAAAAGTATTTTTACAGTAATTTACAGTATTTTTATAGTAAAAAATAGTTAAAAGTAGTAAAATTTTAGTAAAATTACAGTCAAAGAGTACATCACTACTAGGAGCTTTTTTCATCATTTGGCATTACTTTTGTCATTCTTTTTTTTCTTTTTTACCTTTTGAACTTTCTTCTGACTTTTACCTTCTTTCTTTTTGGTGAGGTTGGTGGGATTTTTGGCGAATTTAGTGGAAATTCTTTTCATGAAGTTATAAAGGGACATCACTTCGCCTTCTTTGTTGGGGATTTTTTCATCAAATCGCTTGATGACAGCATCCACCCACTTACTTTTTTTCTTTACCTGGGATCTCCGAAAATCTCTAAATGTCCGCTTCGACTCTCTGTGCGCCGAAATTCATGTGGGTGGCAGTTGTCAAATTTACACGGGTGGCAGTTTTCACTACCGGTGGCAGTTTTCAAATTTATACGGGTGGCAGTTTTCATACAAATTTCTTGAAAACTGCCACCCGGGTGGCAGTTTGCCGTCGCCCATTTCGGCGTAGGAAAGCTGCTTTTAAGTAGATTCATTCCTAAACATTATGCTTCCAGATTATTTAGTGATAACGATTTTTTTGGGATTATTTTTTTTATCAGAGTGAACTCAATGCATCCAGCTTTTTCTCAACTATTCTTGTAGCTCTGAGTGCTTTTTCAAAACTATTTCCCTGATATTAATGATTTCTTTAACATCGCCGAAAAAATTGTGACAAATTATTAGGTTCACCGTGGAGAGATAAAATATCATTGGCCATTTTGGAGCTACAGGAGAAGGGTGAAATTCAAATTCTGTACGACAAGTGGTGGAAAAATTCAGCTGACACATGCACAAGAACTGAGAAAGGAAAAGAATCGAAAGCCAGTGCCCTAGGAGTTGACAATATAGGTAAACAAAAGTACTCATATTTTATTTTCCTGATCAATCTACTTGCCTAAAATGATATACGACCTTATATATGTACTTGCTGAAAATGATGCTATGGACCTCGATTCCCATTAGGTTCGCACCGGTTTCGCCGAGATTTGTACTTCAGCACGCTATTACCAGTGACGTGTTGTGCTTTACGATATACCGATTGATATGCCGTTTACATACATACATACATATGAGTCACTTTTATAGCGCTTTTTGGCGCTTTACGACGCCTAATCGCCACAAAGCTCGGTCTTCCCACAGGTCATCAGGGAGTTGACACTCCCTCATCTCACTCAACACCCCCTGTCGCCAACCTCTCACTGGGCGTCCCCTACGTCTCCTCCCAGGAGGAACCCAATCAAGCATCTTTTTTGGCAGCCTCTCTTCAGTCATCCTATTGACATGACCAGACCAGACAAGCTGTCTGGTCATGACGTCGAACAAGATGTCATTTTCGACTTCCATTATCTGACGCACTCTATCATTGCGGACCCGATCTCTCCTAGAAATTCCTGCCGACCGTCTCCAAAAATCCATCTCCGTTGCTCTTAGCATATCCTGTGTCCGTTTCTTCAGCTGCCAAACTTCAGTAAACTTCAGAAGTTTGAAGTATGCCGTTTAAACCTATTAAAAAGGATCGATAAACAGAGTGTTCGCAAAGAACACTTTAATAATCGATTATTTACCATAACTTCACACCTGGAAATGTCCATAATCGATCATTCACGACTCGCCATTGGCTATTACGCGTTTTATCCTACTAAAAGAAAACCGGTAGAGAAGTCAGTATTAACTTATTCGTCACGTTGTTGGTAGATTTCATGCAGATGTAAACTGACCCAAGTTTCTTATTTTTTGCAGGAGGCGTGTTTGTAGTGCTACTTTGTGGCCTGGCAGTCGCTGTGATGGTGGCGATTTTTGAGTTTTATTACAATTCTAAAGCCATCTCCAAAAGCGAATCAGTAAGTTCAAAATATCCTTGTGAATTGAATCTCTCAGTTTGAAAACGACCCATCTCGGAAAGATTAAATTTTTCAGGAGACGATAAGAACTGCGTATCAGTATGAATAGGAGTGCTTCTACGCCGAAAACTGAATATCGTAAAAAACCCAAGGTGGGTCATTTTCAAACTGAGAGATTTGATTGCATTAGATTATCATGTTGCAATTTTTTGCATATGTACATGAAAGATGATAGAGGATTGTTTTTTTTAAAAATTGTTTTAAAGGAATTTTAAAGAAAATTTCACGGCGTTATGTTGTTTGATACATTCGTAGAGAAAATTTCTATTTTCTCATGAGTCCATGAGAAAATAGAAATGCAGAATAGAAATCCATCAATTTTCTCATTCCATGTTCTCATGAATTTCGTATGCCCTAACTATCTTTTCACAAAAGAGTATACTCTAGAATTTGAATATCAAGTCCAACAGAAACAAACCAAGTCGCATTAAGTTAAATTGAACCAAGAGAAAAAATTTTGAAGTTTCATTCCTTCATGAAACTCAATAGAAAAGACAAAATTTAACATATACTTTAGGCTCAAAATATTTTCTCTTGACTTTGAATTTTCGACAGGAGCGAACTTAGGACTACTAATATTCAAAAGTACCCCCGAACTCAGTATTTCTCCAAAAAGCGACTTGTTGCGCCTCTGCTAAACTCAGTCCATTCATAGACGGATCCAGACACTTCAAACGCGGGGGGTGGAAGGAGGGTCCAGGGACTTACCCATGACAATTTTCGAAATTTTGAAGCAGCTGATATACAATTTGAGTTAATTTCGCCATGAATAATTACCGAATTCAAGCGTATTTTCTTCTTCTTACCTCCGTCCCTTCCTTCTTCCTTATTTATCTTTTTTCCTCTTTTTTCGAGCGCACGACGGGACTTACGCCCCTTACACCCCCCTTCGATCCGCACATAGGTCCATTTATTCCTCGAAGTATACAATATAAGGATTCACTCTACTTTTTCAGCGCACAATGGCGACGCCGCAACAATCGCTTTGCGCCGAGATGGCTGGGGAGTTATGCTTTGCCCTGCGATGTCGGGGTTCGCGCCAGAGGCCGGCTTTGAAGCGACAGTGCTCCAAGTGTGTGCCAACAGGATCCTCCACGACCTACATGCCAGCCCTACCGGCCGGCTTGGAGCCACCCCACTTGCAACCACACGACATTAGGCAGAGGGTAAGTTGCCGATTTAGACAGTAGCGTGGCGTGAATTGCGATATATCGATTGTTATGCCATTTAAACCTATGGTAAAGAATCGATTATAAAGGCGTTCGCTGCGAGCACCCTGTTTATCGATCCTTTTCCATAGGTTTAAATGGCATACCAATCGATACATCGCAAAGCACGCCGCGCCACTGGATCTAGAGGACCGCGTCTAGCAGATAGGAACCAAGCCACATCAGCTAATGCCTTTTTGGGGAAATTTAATTTTTTACGTTGAACGGTTGAGCGGATTTTTGTGCAAGTTTCAATGAATTTTCTGCATAGTGCAAAACAAATTCCTCAAAATTTTCAAAGGAATCCGCACAAACGTTCTCTAATAAAACATTAAATTGCCCAGTTTTGGCAATAGCTGATCCCTTTCCACTAAACGTGGTCTAAGTAGTCAAGATAAACAGAACGAGAAAAACTGTTCAGGAGGTAGAGAGGCCCAGAAAAGTTTGTCAAATAGCATCACTCAGATTTTTGGGTAGATATCAACCCTGCTCTGATTAGTCTATCCTGCTGGGATAGGACTGGTACCCACCCGAAATCTAGGTGATAATACTTCAGAACCCAGCCATAGAATCGGTTTTCTTTCGTGAAAGCTATTTTATTACTCGTGGCTAGTTATAAAAAAAGTCCCGATTTACGCAATATTGAAATAAATGTGTTGAAAGCGAAAAGTAAAATCATAATTTTGTATCATATTCAATTATTCTCTCTTGGATTGGAACTATCAAAGCGCCGTATTCTCTGTTGGCCCCTGAACAGTTACTGTCATAAGAAGGCGCCATACGGTTCACACCGTGATAATAGAAGGTTTAAGTAAATCATTGACAAAACATCATAAAAAGGATAATTTTAACGATCTTTGAGGAAAATTCAACATTATAACTTTGGAGACAGACTTTTGGAATGGAAATAAAATGATTTACCTATACCAAAAATAAAAAATACAAAACCAAAAAAATGCAGGTGCTGAAAATTTGAAGGTGAGCTTGTACCTACCTAAAAGTTTGCCAAAAGTATAGACTTTTTTCTTTCATGTTTTTTCTTTCATGTTTTTTCTTTTTTTTGCGATGGCAAATCATTTTTATCCCTTGCAATGACCAATGACTTCCAACATTAAATTCAATTCTGTCAGATTTTTCTCGCGATTCGTTCAATTTGTCCTTTGTCTCTTGTACCTAACTAAAAGTTTGCCAAAAGTATAGACTTTTTTCTTTCATGCTTTTTCTTTTTTTTTTGCGATGGCAAATCATTTTTATCCCTTGCAATGATCTACCTCCAACATTACATTCAATTCTGTCAGATTTTCCTCGCGATTCGTTCAATTTGTCTTTTGTCTCTTTTAACCTCGACCTTTAATGTGACCCATAAGACTGATTATGGAGCGATCATGAATGAATACGGAATAATATACTTATGCCATTTCTGATAACACCAACCTCTCGAAATAGTAACGGTGAAAATAATTATAATTTCAGAGGAACTGCAGTATAGGGCACGGGTACGACCCACGAGATGAGGGACCTCCAATACCCCCTCCACCTCCACCCTCGCAAAGGATTCGATTAACCGCCGCCGGACGAGACTGAACAAACAGTGGATTACACTGGTGTGCCAAAAAAATTCCTGGAGTGTAATGGATCACTAGACTAGGTACGAATTCAAGCGATCTGATACATGTTTCTTAACCAGAATTTCACGTAAAACACGATTCACACAACGAAAATTACTGAAACCAATTCCTAACGAAGATATAAAGTTTTTATTTCACATTGCGACGGTGAAACTACCAAACCACGTATCTCGTTTGCGGTGTTTAAAAATCTACGCTCGCATTTTATTTTTTTGAAGTAGACCAAATCAATATCATTCCTTGAAATTCTCACGGAATTTTCTCCGCACAAAGAGGAAAAATCACAGAAATTTTCAAGACTGGATGTCAAGTAGTTTTTCATTTAAAAAATAAAGTATGACAGGAAGTCTGCGACGTCGCAAACCGAGATACGTGGTTTGGTAGTTTCACCGTCGATTGGTTACGAGGAATTTGAACTACCCGCTCACAAGAAACTCAAAGCTCTACGTGAGTCAAATCGCCCACTACAAAGGTTTCAGCAAGCTTCTCAATTGAACAATATTCAATTCCCACAATGTGTCGATCAAACTATTAGTAATTTGCTATAACTGAGCCAAAGCGTCAAGCTCGAGATTGCCAGATTTTTATATCGCAGAGACTGTCATGATAACGTTTAGCGCGCGATGTGAATCACGTAGAGGATTGAGTTTTCATGAGCGGGTGGTTTGAATTCACGCATCAAGAATCGTTAAATATCTTCGTAAGGAGTTAATTTCGGTAATTTTTGTTATGCGCATCGTGTTCTACGTGAAATTTTAGTTACGAAACATGTGTCAGATTGCTTAAATTCGTACCTTATCTAGTGCTCCATTATTGTGACAACAATCGAAGAAATATTGTGCAGTGTGTGTAAAGGGAGGCTACCATCTGTGTTCTAACTTCATTAGATGACACGCGCCGAATTTGTCTGAAATCAGGCTTCGATCTCTAATAATAAGGGGTTTTGCGTCTACCATATACAGGGTGATTCAAACATCCCGCACCGCCTTGGTAACAAAGTTCTTGCATCTGTTCAGCGTGGCACCTTTAAGAATTTGGGGGTTCGAAAAAAATGTCGCACTCACAAAACTATTCTCCCCTGTTTTCATGTGTTCAAAAGTTATAATGGTGATGCCTGATGCTTAGAGTGTGGGGCTTTTGGACCACTCTGCATATGGTCTGAAAAATGGGTGCAGCCTTCATTTCTGTTGCGACCTTACTCATTGCAAAATTCCCTGTTTCATCATCGAAAACTGTTTTGGCTCCCATAAATTGTAAAATACAAGCTTTTTAGCCAACTGGTTCCAGAAAGGGGTGAAGTTTGAACATTGGCTGTCAGGACGCGGAAAAGCACGATAATTATGATATGTCAGTCTGAGGGAAATCCCAAATACATGCACAACGTATGGTGACTTTCCTGCATGAAAAAAACTGAGAAAAAAACCTAGAAAAAACTTATGTGAACTTTGTAAATTTTGTTGAGTTGTAAAATAAAATAAGTACTTCAAAACGAGTGTAGCAATTCCTCTCACCAAACTATGATCCGTATACATGGGTGGTTTCACGATAACTGGAATAGTTTCGTCGCCGTAACGGAAAACACATTTTCCGGTCATATTTTTAGTAGTATTGATAATCACTAGAATTTGTTTGCACTAATCTACACAGGGTTACATGTTTTAACGCTTTTCAAAGATTTATCGCTCTACTTTTAAATTTTAATATATAATTGGCCGAAAATGTGCTGTCTGTTACGCTGATTTTTTACCGCGTAACAGACAGTACATTTTTGGAATTTACATAATATTAATTGAGAAGCAGAGCAATAAATCATTAAAAAGCGTTATAATACGTAACTCTTTGAAGATTGATGCGAAAAAATTCGAGTCATTATCATTTCTACTAAAAGTATGACTGAAAAATGTGTTGTCTCTTACGGCGACAAAACTATTCTAGTTATCGTGAAACCACCCATATGTATCTTCTCCATAAGGGCATTGATAGCCTTTGTAGCGGAATGTCTTAAACAAAAATGACTAAATAACTATCCGTTTACCTCTATATTTCTCTTCCAATTGTGTCTGATAAAGTCGCAGATATACATGTAGGAAAGGGTAAGGCAAAGAACATTGACCTGAATTTTTATGACGATTTTGCTCGCGGCTGCACATTAAAGCGCTTGATAAAAAACATTCTTTGGAAGTTTGAACTCCAGCTGCGTCGAATAAGGGTATTTCCGTAAAGGCGCTGACCTTAATGGAGCATCTCGTTCACATCCTAGGATTTCGAATATCATTGTTAAAGTTTCCTCATGGATGAATTGCCAAAATCAACGACGTGTCGTTTAGATTTGGGAGAAAATTTAACAAACGAGGCCCGGTTACGTCTTTCTTGGCATCAGATGTGTTGTTTGTGTAGCCCTTGAAGCACCACTTCAAATCATACAAACGGAACTTACACAATGTGAATATAGCAAGGGAAAGGACGCGCATTGATGACGGCGCAGGGATACAACTATTCGTACTTAATGGATGTCCATGTTGCATCTGCAAAATTGAAGGCGCCATGGCGTGCGGCGTGAACTCGCAATGCTCCGCTCCATGCTAGCGATGAGATGTCGCCCAGATTCGGAAGAAAACGAGGCCCGATTACGTTTTTTCTATCTTCGCTGTGAAAAATAGAATGAAACACAGGCATGTTCTCATTCAATGCGAATGCGTTTTAAAAGCCCCCGCTCGATTTTGCCTCTGATCATCAAGACTTCCTGCTTCCTTGTTCCTGTCTCTTTCAGAAAAAAAGCTTTCAGAAATCAAAAAATGTCACCGACGATAAAAGCTACGTGTCAATCATATCACCACATTTTGCTCGCGAGAAAAATCACCGAAGTGGAAATTTACCGAACTCTCCGGGGAGGCTTTTAATTTTTTTAGAATGGAAATTTAGTCTGGTCAGGAATACATTGGAGTCATCGTGTCAAAGTAACAGGTATCCACGCAAAAAATGCATTGACGCAGCCAACAATCTGCTCATGCTTCTGTGGTTAGTAAAGAAGCCGCATGAGCCCTCAGCCGTCGCAAAAATTCCATCGATTAATTACGGATTTTCATGAAAATCTGTCAACATTCTTCCGAGAATTTTTCCGAGAATTTCATTCCCAAACAGATCCAAATTATCTGAAAATGTCAAGAGAAAATATTAAAAATCTGGGTAAGAATGAAGATTTGATTGAAGGTAATTTGGCAACCTCGATCGAAATTCATTCAGCTTTTCTCCTCAGCATGACAGCATGGTGGTAGCAGTGCCTATGAGAGCCTTTTACATATGACATATTGACATATACCGAGATATTTCTATCCTTTCTGACATATTTGTGAGGGCGCATTTTGAAGTGTGAAGCAGACATTTGAGGTTTCACTCGAAAGCTTTGTGAATGAGCGCACTCTTTTTACTTGATCCTTTTTTGAACAACATCGCGTATTTTGTGAATTTTAATTCGCACTCTGTTCAGTTATGTGAGATTTTACCCATAGAGCTTCGTTATTTCACGTATACCTGATGTAAAGTAACTTAGTGACTTTTGAAGTAACAAAACTGTACCTCTAATAACTCTGACTGCCATGGGTATAAAATAAATTATGATCAAATCTATTGTTCTTGCGGTTTCCATGTGTCTTTCCTTATTCAAAAAATGGTAAAACGATCTTAAATTTTTGTAACTCTCGGAAAATTCTACGATCGCATCTCATCACACCGACACCGCAACTGAATCCGACGATGCACAAACTTATTTCTGGCACCCTTACTGCTGTAGTTATCCTCTATTTTTATCAAACGACGGTAGGTACAATTTTGTTTATCTTTCTCTCCTCTCATCTGTATTTTTTATAACTTATATCGTCTCTGAAACGGGTATTCCACTCTCTAGCCCCCCAAAATCTCTGCTCACAGATTTACTCTCCAACAGTCAACAGGTACAAACCTACCAACCTGCGATGATCCCAATGTCGCAACCAACATTTTGAAATGTTTTGCTTCCATCGAGTTAAGAATCTAACTTTTTGTTCGTAGTTCTCACCCTTCATATTTTTTGTAAAGACATTAATAGCCTAAGATAGTGAATGTCTCTACTAAAATTACCGAACTAACTAACTGACTCTCTAAACATTAGAGTACCTCTGATAAACTGAAATTTACATAATGTTGCCCGTTTAAAAAGGAAAACTGAAAAGCTAAAGTTGAGGGTACGAAGTACGAGATATCAAAACAAACTCTTTCTTTTCTCTCATTTGTGTTGTTGAAAAAGTGACGAAAAATTAAAATATGAGGTGAATGTTAATTCATTGGTTGAAAATTTCTGACTTGGAGTTCCATGATTGTATTCCGCGTTTCTTACTCTCTTCTTTTCCTCCTTTCTTTCTTTTTCGCCCTTTTTACGAAGAAAACCTTTCTATTATTCTCCAGTGTGCACAGTGGTCTTGAAGCAAAAAAAAAAAAACAAAAAACAAAAAAAATGCGACAAGAATGTACCCAAAAACGCTCTTGCAGGGGGTGAGTCTATGGAACGCGTGGACTCGGAATTGCGAAAAATCAAAATCTTGGCTGATCCTAATATTGAGATATCGCAATTTGAAATGTTCGTAGTAAATGCAAGTTTTCTACTGATTTTGATCCGATTATTTATTTATTTGTCCATTGAATCGGTGTTTATCGGCTCACGCTGTTATTTTTCCTTCGATTCGTGTCGACCGAGTACATACCCTCCCATTCCATGTAGACAATACCTAATCATACACTTTTTTTTTTCTAACTGAACAAATCGCCTTCTGCTGCGTCTGCAGCAATTGTCGTTACGAATATGTTGTGCGTGCTAATTTTAGCTTATTACATACTCGACTCTCTGAAGGCGTTTTATGTGCGCCAATAGCGCGATCTGTCGGACGAACAAAGTAGGGATTGAGCGATTCATTCAATCTCACTTCTGTTGTTCTCTGACAGATCGCGCTACTTGCGCACATAAAACGCCTTCAGAGAATCGAGTATGTAATGATCTGAAATCAGCACGCACAACATATTCGTAACAACAATTGCTGCATACACAGTTGAAGGCAAATTGCTTTCGCACATAAAACGCCTTCAGAGGATCAAGTATGTAATTAGCTAAAATCAGCACGCACATCATATTCGTGACATCAATTACTGCAGACGTAGCAGAAAGCGAATTGTTCACTTAAAAGACAAAAAACTCCTACAACTACATCTTTTCTTTTTTTATGAACAGAACAAGCCGTACTTTGTATGAGAATGTTGCGTTCAAATTATTCACCTATAGTGTGGAGACTCAGCACTATTCTGTCATTTACCATCCTTTCAGTGTCAACTTGTTATTCTTTCCAATTTCCGAAGGTAATAGCGATGCGGCGTACCCAATCGAGCAAAGATCTCTCGACCTCTCGTAGACCTAGCTTAGCCGCAACCGGTTCCCTCTCATTCGGGCGTCAGGGTCCTCAGAACCCAAGCGGAGCATCCTCATTCGACCGTATGCCTGGCCCGCCGCTGAGGACACTGACTCCCTCGGCATCTTTCCAGTTTGGAAACTACCGCCCTTGGGTAATGTCCACCACTGCGGGCTCAAAACCCGAAGTCTTTAACGGGAGGGAAAGCGAAATCCCCCCGCCGACGTTCAGGGACATGGACTCGGATAAGCTGCTTGCATTCCTCATGCAAAATCGGGGCGCCGATCCTTGTAATCGAATATCCGGCGACAAGAAGAACCCTCCCGACACAAAAAGCCGTGACTGGGAGGCAGGTGAAAGGGCGTGCACCCTTTCGTACCTGGGGTACAAGGGCATCATTGATCGGAACCATAATAAAAGTAAGTAAGCTTTTCTGTGCTGGAACAAGGTGAAAAACGAACCAATGGGTTGTGGTTAAAATTTTTTGATAGTTATGGCCTGGTTACACGCTCAAATTTCCGTCAAATTCCGATCAAAATGATGACCAAGATGGCGGTCGAGAGTTATCTAGATTGATGAGTAAAATTTATTAAAACAGCGTGTTGATTGAAATAAGCATAAAATATAGGCACGGTTGTGTGGAAATCAGATGAAGGATGAGTCCCACAGCTCCATCATCTACCATCAAATTTTTGCAGGACGCAGAAATTTGATGGTAGATGGTGCGCACCAGTCACCATTTGATCGGAAATTGATGGAAATTTGAGCGTGTAACCAGCACATTATGGTACCTTTCTACTTACGTCATCATCAGAGCTTTTATAAATCTTGAGACATAAACAAACATAATCGAAGTTTGAAGTTTTTAACGATATTTTACACGACGGATTTATTTACGATAGTCGAAATTAAAAGAACGTTATATATGATAAGAGAGATCGTTGCGCCTCAAGCGAATTTTATTTAGAGGCTCAGTACTACTTTCGTGTCCGAACCTTCGAGGTGCCATTTTATTTGAGTTCGGGACTTCCGATTCGGTGACTAACGAATCGCAACG